GGAATAAATCAAATTCTACTTCAATCTCTAGGTCATGGGGCAGGAACCATTTGGGAGGCTGCTCCCCCTGCAGGCTGTGGTCTCTACTGCGAAGCATTTTAATTACAAAGAACCTCAATAAAGTTAAAACTGCCCTGTCCACCCTGTGCCTTGTGTTTGGGATTTGATAGCGTGTAAGAGGTGCGTTGCTTGAGTGGCCTTAGACACCAGGAGGTAGGTAGAAGCGCCCAGGGAAACCTGGCAGTGGCCTTAGAGAGCTGAACTGGGCACAGGAAACCCCAGTCAGTTGCAACCCTACAGCTGATTGGCAGAAACTACCATGGGCCACACACTTAATCTCTCGACCTGTAAAATGATCCGTTCGCGTTCATGCAGCTTGGGTCTGGCCTCTTTTGGTTGGGTATTCATGTTTATCATTCAGTGTTAACAGTGTCAGTTATGTGTCTAATACTGTATGATAGTGTCCAAAAGGACTTTTTTTTTTATTTGGCACCTAACAACTGTTGCCAATCTCCTTTTTCCCCCCACATCCCCCCAGTACACAGTTGTGTATTTTAGTTGTGGGTCCTTCTAGTTGTGGGATGTGGGACACTGCCTCAGCCTGGCCTGACAAGCAGTGCCATGTCTGCGCTCAGGATCCGAACTGATGAGGCCCTGGACGGCTGAAGCAGAACGTGCGGACTTAACCATTTGGCCATGGGGTCGGCCCCCAAAAGAATTTTAAAGTACCCCTGCATACAGGGGATTTGCAATCCAGGTGACACATGATAGAGGTGTGACACAACTGATGAATATAGAATGTAGTGGTGTGGAGCAAATATGTTAAAAATAGAAGTGGGAAAGAGATCTGAACTAAAGGCTCTTTCACACCTGCAAGTATGACAACAGTAAATATTTGTTGTGTGAAAGATGTGTGTCTTTTTGCTCTTACCCACTTGACGTTATTTTCTCTGGATGATGCCCAGATCGCTGCCCTCTTCAGAATTACAGTCATTTTTTTTGTTCTATAAACATTAAGTATGTACTCAGTCACCCTTGGGTACTGGCAGTACTTCTAACTGCAAAACCTCTTCCTCTAGATGTCCTGATTATCATCTCAGATTCAGTGTATCCCAAACTTAACTCTTTGCCTTCTACCTCATATCCATTCCTCTTCCCACATCCCTGTATGCAAGCGAGTAAACCAAGAACATAGCTCTGGATCATCAAGTCCCTACTACTGCCATTATTTTTTGTACAAATACAATTCCTTAATCTCTTTCAGACATTTCCAAAGTGTGATCCCAATGTACCAGCCCTGCCTTATCTCCCAGTACTCTCACTCACACACTATCTCAGTCAGCAGAACCTCTCATGAATCCCCACATTGGTTCTATGTTCCCAGTTTGCTTAAAAATTTCCCTTTGTACTTTTAGACTCCTTTCTTGCTTATCCTTCAAGACTAAGGTCATATGGTAATTCTGGGGCTTTCTGGTTCCTTCAAGCAGTGAGAGTTCTTTCTTTGATTTCAGGTGGCATTTTTATTTTGCCTCTTTTATTGACAGAATTATTAGTCTACATATCTTTTCCTCACCCCTTGCTCAGTACCTAACATGTAGTGTACACTATGAACTTAGTGAATGAAGTAACTTGTCCTACTGTAGACTACAGTCGGGATGTATTTCACCGAGAAAAGACGTAGACTGAAGCAGAGGTAGGATTGAGAGAGCAGAGAGGAGCAGGTGGAACTGCCTGGGTGATGGAGTTAGTGCACCAGGCACGGGTTGTTAATTTTCGAAGAATTGAGATGCCAATAATTATTACACACAAAGAAGTTAAAAATTTTTTTGACTTTTTTTTTTAAAGATTGGCACCTGAGCTAACAACTGTTACCAATCTTTTTTTTTCTTCTCCCCAAAGTCCCCCAGTACATAGTTGTATATTCTAATTGTGAGTGCCTCTGGCTGTGCCATGTGGGATGCCACCTCAGCATGGGTACCATGTCCGCACCCAGGATCCAAACCGGCAAAACCCTGGGCCGCTGAAACGGAGTGTGCAAACTTAACCACTTGGCCCCAGGGCTGACCCCCAAAATTTCTCATTATTAGAATCATACTTTACAATCTCGGAGTTCTTTTAAAGACCATTATGAAAATTCTTGTCAACACACATACAAACAAACCATTTGGTATATTTTCGTTGTCTGCTTCTTGGGTTGTTGAGATTCCTCTTTTCTGAGTTTTTCCAAACATTTTTTCTGGCCTCGTGATTGTAGCATTCCCTGAAGCAAACAAGATCCCCTTTGATAAAGTGGGAAGAATACTGTATTTGGATTAGAAGTCTGGGGTTCAGGTACCAACGTGATCATGTGCCTAAGATCATATGGCCAAGATCAAACCTGCCTATTTCATAGGATTGTTTTGAAGATCCAATAAGGTGAAGTATTGTGAAGGTGCTTTGTGAATTATGTAAAACTAGATAAATGTGAGAAATGGTTATTACTCCCTGAAGCTTACAGAAGTGGAGAATGAAGGTGTTGGAGGGACCCTTAGCATCTAGTCCATGAGAAAGGCGGTATGGTGGAACGAACACAGCTCCTGATATCAGACTGACTTAGGTTGGAATTCTAGCCAGGCATTTTGCTAGCTTCTGTCTTGAGCAAGATACTTGAGCCTCTGTTTTTGGTCTGACACGTGGGGATCATGGTAGCTACCACCCAGGCTTCTTGTGAGGATTAAACAAAATAATGTACATGAACAGTCTAGTACATAGTTGGTGCTTACTATCAAAACCCTTTCCGTTGATGAGCAGTGTTGGCATCCCCCCCTCAGATTAGGGTTCCCTTTCTCTTCTCTTAGGCGTAATTTCTTGCCTCAGAATTCTGGAGCTTGATCTCTTTTGGAAGAGCAGAAATGAGGAAGGGATACTTGTCTACTCTTGGTTTACACTGGGCTGATTGGTTGGACCTTCCTGCTCAGGGTGCCCTAACAATAGCCACAGTTGCCCATCAGACCTTAGGACTCGGCCATTACAGGCAGAGCCTGGCGATGCTGCACGGTCTGAGCAGGGTCTGTGCATGGGTAAGGCTCGGACAAGAAGAACGGCTGCCCAAGGCCCCCACTGTGTACTCTGTACCTGAGCATGTGCAGGGAGACTTGCCAAGACCTCCTGAGCTCCTGGCTTGGTCCCCAAGTAAAGGTTATTAGAGCATGGAGTCTGGGTCAGCTCATTCACACACAAACCACAAGTGAGACAGGCCTTAGTCACCTTTCAAGAGGGCAGGGCCTCTGTGCTGCAGGCCTGCCACACACCTCTGTTGCCTTTACTCCAGTTGGCCAGCTCCTATTCCAGCCACAGAGTTACTCCCACCTTGTCGACACTTGCCAAACAATCTCTGCTCTCCTAGAAGTCCAACCACTGAAAACTCACTTTCAGAAGACCTACTTTCCTCTGTTCTTTCCAACTTCCAATTTCTTTCTCCACATTGTTCACCCTACCAGCTACATCACACCACTACATCTAGTACTTCTTTTTTTCTTTTTCCTTGAGGAAGATTAGCCCTGAGCTAACTACTGCCAATCCTCTTTTTGCTGAGGAAGACTGGCCCTGAGCTAACATTTGTGCCCATCTTCCTCTACTTTATACGTGGGACACCTACCACAGCATGGCTTTTGCCAAGTGGTGCCATGTCCACACCCGGGATCTGAACTGGCAAACCCCGGGCCTCTGAGAAGGGGAACGTGTGCACTTAACCACTGCACCACCGGGCCGGCCCCTAAATCTAGCACTTCTGTGGACCACCAGAAGCCCTCTGACTTCCCACAGATCTTCCCAAGCAGTGTGTTCTGGCAGAAAGCCAGAAAGACATGGGAGTGAATCCTAGCTCTTGATTATCATGTTTGGATAAGTTACTTAATCTTCCTAGAGTTTCCTAGACTGTAAAATGGTTTAATAAGACCTCTAGGGTTGTAGTACTAACAGAATGAGATACTGTGGGCAAAGCACAAGGCCAGAGCCTGAGAGCAGGAGCTCAGCAAATGTTGATTTGATGCCCTCCCCTTCCCCAGGGTGTGCTGGAGTTCGCCCGCCCTGCTTTTTACTGTAAATCCTTTTTGGAACAGGCTCCACAATAAATAAGTAAACCAGCCAGACAATAAATAAAACATAGACCTCCTTTTCTCTCCTTTCCCCCTTTCTTCCTCATCTTTCTTCCTTTTCCTTTTCTACAGGCTCCTTTTCTTCCCTTTCTATTCTTATTATTCTTTTCTTTTGTGTGTGTGCGTCTCTCTATTTGTTTCTTTCCTGCTTCTCCTACCATACCTTAGCCAGGGTCAGGGAGCAATTAATCAAATATTTTCACTGTGAGAGTCAGATCAGAAGATGTAAGCAGTCAAGAAAGAGGAGTGTTGAATGGAACCAAGTTTCTCGCTTCATGCCCCCAGCTTTGGAGAATGCATGATCTGTTTAGATCTAAACCACTGTGGGTTAGGTAGAAATCTGGGGGAAGACTCCCTAACCTATCTTTAGTATGGCCAAACCACCCTTTACTCCCTTCACACGTTACTGGTTTGTTTTCAGTGATGCGCTCCAAGGCCAAAAGACAACTGTGTCAGGCTGGCTTTTTTGGGTTCCCAGGAGCAGAGGGAGATGAGGCAGTGGGAGGAGAGACCTTAAGAGAATTGAACTGTGAGAGGCTAGCAGAAGTGGAGTTTCCTGGGCTAGAGACCTTGACCTTGGCCAAATCATCTTCCTCTCTGCTTCCTTATTTCTTTTTCTTTTCTTTTCTTCTTCTTCTTCTTTTTTTTTTTGAGAAAGATTAGCCCTGAGCTAACATCTGCCACCAATCCTCCTCTTTTTGCTGAGGAAACACCCGTACCCATGTTCCTCTACTTTATATGTGGGACATCTGCCACAGCATGGCTTGATAAGTGGTGTGTAGGTCCATACCCAGGATCCAAACCGGCGAACCCTGGGCCTTTGAAGCAGAGCACACAAACCCAAGCACTATGCCACCGGGCCAGCACCTGCTTCCTTGTTTCTTTATGAAATGAAAACAGTAATTCTCCACCAGTCTCACAAGGTGGTTGGGAGGATCAAATACGAAAGTGCTTGGTGAAATGTGAAACAGATAAACTGCTACTTAGATGGAAATTATTGTAATTTATATTTATTCAATTACAGAGCACTTATTTTATGACGTTCACCCCTAGCTATTGGAGAAACACCAGGAAATAGAAAGGGTCCGTATCTTCTAAGGAACTCAAAAGCTAGAGGGTATTTTTAGGATAATGGGTAGGATGGGGTCTTCAGACTGGCCTGAAGACTTAGGAACTAGAACTGAGCTAAAGAAGGCTAAGGTCAGGCTGCTGAAAAGTGCAGATGGACAATGACCGTCTCAAGATGCCTCCGCCTGGTAGGTGTGCACCAGATTTCCTACTGTGTGTGTCGCCAAGGTGAGAGCTGAAGCAGCTCAAGTGCTCCATGAGCAGGAGGAAGCTGTGGGATGATGGGGAGGGTCCCCACAAAGACTGGAGCCTCGTCAGCATCGGAAACCACAGGAAACCAGGTCAGTGCGTGGGGCCCGCTCCCTCAGCTTCAGGGCTCAGCTATGAGCTCTGGGGCTTCTTGAGCAGACTGTACTGGTCCTCGAAGCTGGAGGCCCCCTTAGCATGGAGTCCTTTGCCTAGAAGAGCTGGAACTGGCCAATGGTTAGAGAGAGGAAGGCTGAGCTATAGTCCTGAGAGCAGCCAGATGGGGAACCGGGATGCATATGGGGGCACGTGAGGTTTATGTGCATCCTATAGTGCTTTCTTGTTGTTCTGCCCGACTTTAAACGGTGCCTCAGTCACCTCTGTCTCCAGCACCCAATGCAGGGTAGTGCTTAACGGCTCTGTTAACTCTCTAAGTGAGGAGATGAAGCATGTGTCCAGGGGAGATCCAAGTCCAAGAGCAGGTTAACGGGCATGTCAGATCTGCACGGTGTTGCAGGAGGAGGAGGGGTTAAGAAATGGGTGCAGCCCGCCATCCCCCGAACCCAGTGCTGGCCTCTTTCCTGTTATTTCTCTGCCAGAGCCGAAGCCCCTCGCCCACCAGGTGGGGCCAGTAGGGTTTTCTGGGGGGGCAAGCGTCCCTCAGTCCCTCCGCTTGGAGGAGAAGGAATGCGGCCTGGCAGGCTGGTTAGGATCGAGGAGGAGCTTTAGGGCAGGGCGGGGCAGGGGCAGGCTGAAGCGAGGACTCCTGCTGGCACTGCGCTCCCTGCTGCTGCACAGCAAGGCTCTGCCGCCCACCTTCAGGCCGTGCAGCCATGTTCTGGGTGCCCTGACCCCACGGAAGCCCATGGGGAGCCCCGGACTGGCTGCCCTGCTCCTGCCTCTCCTCCTGCTGCTCACTGGCCTCTCTGCCCGCCCTGGGATTGCCTGCCCCTCCCTGCCCCACTGGAGCACCCGCTGTCTGCTGGCCTCCCACATGGTAAGGCCCCGCCGCCGAGTGGGAACACCTTCCTGGCACTGGCTGGTAAAGCTCCCCACTCTCCTGCCTGTCCTTCCCTACCTCTCCAGTCCCTGTGCTCTGGGGGCAGCCTCAGTGTGTCCTCTACACGGTCTCAAAGGGGTAGCCAAGGTCCTGGTGCACTGAGAGCCTGGGTAAGGTGGAACTGGGAAGAAAAGAGCCAGAGGGGTTGGGCTATTAGCTTATGGGCCTCGGAATTAGATGATTAGAGAGACCTCCTTATGAGAATCCCTACTAATTATACTTCTCTCCTTTCTTTTCCCTGCTGGGCCCTGTGCCTTCAGGATGACAAGTTCATTGGTGAGTCTCATTGTTTGCCTCATTCCTCTTTTCCACATCCCTTTTGTTACAGATCCCCAGGGAGCCTTCCATTCTAATTTTGGTTCCCAACCTGGGAAGTAGCATAGTATCAAGGAAAAAGCATGGGGTTTAGAATCAAGGCAAACCTGGATTTGCATTAGAATTCTGCCACATACTGCCCGTGTGGCTTCTGCACTTAACCCCTCCGACCCTCAGTTTCTGAGGGTAAAGCAGCGCAGTGGAGATGATTGCACGATGAAGACTGTTGCTGCTGAGCTGTGGGGAGGGTTAAATTAGAGGCGCAGGTAAATCTCCAGGCACTCCCCCTAACTGGTCCCTCACTCCTGTCAGTAACACAACCATGATCCTTCATATTTTATGGTGCATTCTACTCTATAAAGCATCTTCCCACACGTTATCTTACTTGATCTTGACAGCAGCCCCACTTTATGAATGAGTAAGCTGAGGTTTAGAGAGGTCTGTAACTTGCCCACGGTCACATGGCCAGGATGTAAGTGGCAGAGTTCAGCCTCAAGTCCAACTTGTCTGAGGCAGGAGGGACCTCCTTGGACCCTACCATTTGATTTCCTTTTCATCTTTCACAGGAAGGGCTGCCTATATTCCTTGCCGTATCTGGATGGCCCTCCCCGTCTCTCGAAAGCCTTTGTGTGCTGGACTCTGGCACTGCGCCTACTGTTTGTGCCTGTGTCTGGTGTCAGATCTTTCAGGTTTGAGAAATAGCTCTTTGGGCCATTCTCAGTGGAGATGTGAATTCAGGGGCATTTGGTGGGGGGGGGTGGCGGGTGGGCAGGCTCAGGCAAAGTGGGACTTATACCAGAACAGATGTTTTTCCTGTTGTCAGTCTCAGCAGAGACTCAGGTCATCCTCACGTAGCACACCGTGACTGACAGTCGTGAGTTCAGTCATATCATTTTGTGATGGTGTTTCTCATTTCAGCTGGTACCAATTCTTGGGATCAAAATGTTTTAGTTCTACGAATTTACTATTATTATCTTCTATTTGTAAAGTAAGATCTTTCTTATTCAACTCTGTATTTTCATTGCCTAGCTCAGTGCCTGCCCATACACTGCTTAAAAATTGGCAGTTTCTAATTTTTCACTGTTACAAACAGTGGTACAATGAACGTCTTTGTGTATATATAGATATATATATAGCTTTGTCTTTACTTAAGAAATTAATTCTTTTTTTGATTGTATCGCGACTTTCAGGACTAAAGAAGTTTGATGTCATTACCCTCCTTGATCTAAAATGACTTGCTCGCCAACATTAGGCCACATCTCCAGGTAGGGGAGTGGCAATGAAGGTAAATGTGTCCTCTCCTGCGCAGGCCGTCAGTGGGGCTGGTTCCACCTCCTGGTGCAGAATTCCTACAAGTCTTACAAGTTCCAGTTCTGTAGGAGACACAAGATGCTGGTATCTGCTCAGGTACTCTTCCAACCTGGATCAGCCCTGCCCTACACCCTATGGCCCTCTCCTGTCTGGCCTCTCATTTTATTCTCCAGTCACACGAGAGAGATAGAAACTGTGGAGATGAAGTAGATTGTTCTGTCTGTTACAGAGGTAGGGAAACTCAGGCCTAAACGTTGAGCAATTTGCCTTTGGAGCCCCAGCTTCCAGAAACAGGAATAGAAGGCAGAGTTCCTGATTCCTGGCCTAAGGCCAACCTTGATCTCTGCCTACAGAGGGAGCTGCTGAGTAGCTGTTGCGTGTCTAAGAAGGGCCATCACAGCTCCGGCCCCTCCCCAGATACCTCCCACAAGGGGCTGCGCTCCAAAAGGACCCAACCTTCAGATCCAGAGGCAGTGGAAGGTCTCCCCAGACCCGGCTCACAGAGGCATGGAGGTAGGCATGGGGTGTGATGGGGGTTGGGTGCAGCCAAGTAGTGGCGCCTGCGCTAAGCCTGAGAGACAAGGCCACCAAGTCCCCCTTCTCCCCAGGGCCCGAGTTCTCCTTTGACTTGCTACCTGAGGCACGGGCTATTCAAGTGACCATTCCTCCAGGCCCTGAGGTCAGCGTGCGTCTTTGTCACCAGTGGGCACTAGAGTGCGAAGACCTGGGCGGTCCCTTCGATGCCAAGGTATGGAGTGCCATCTCCCTGTAAAAAGCCAAATCACAGAGCGCTAGAGCAGAAAGAACCTACCCATTGAACAGATGGGGAAACTGAGGCCCAGAGAGAGATGGGAGTTGTCCAAGCCCTCCTTACGAGTCTGAAGTGCCTCGCATTAAGACTTCTTTGGACTAGACAGAAAACGCAAGGGGTCTTGTCCCCTAGGAGGAGAGGAGAGGCAGGGGCAGGCAGAGACCTGGAGCAACGCTGAATGCCTAGCAGAGAAATGAATACAGCACTTCCCCCCGTGAGAGGACCCTCAGTGAGATTCAGCTTGCGTTAAGAAGCCTTTTCAGTTCCCCCAAGAAGTTCTTCTCTTTGAGAAAATGAAGTGGTCACATCTGTCTTGGTTCCTTTCCATCTCCTCCCTTTGTTGCTGCCCCTCAGAGAATGAGATGTCCCCCATGCTCCCAGTCCAGGCTCTGACACCCCATTGTAACCTCCAGTTGTCACAGATGCCCGTAACACTTGGTACCATTGGCAGGGACTGCTGCTGTGCCCAAGGCCCTCAGCTCTCTTCATTTACAAAATGGTGATAATACTGCCCGAGATCACTCTGATGCTAGCGTTTAATTAATTGAGTTAATGCTTCTAGAACCTAGCACCCTACCTGGCATACAGTAGGGGCTCAATAAATGTATATTCCTTTCCCTATCTCCTCCCTCCCCCACCCCAACTCCATATAATATGGAGACATTTAGAGCAAATAGTGAGACTATAGAGCAGAGACCGCCTGAGAGGAAATTTCTTAGCGAGAGAAATAAGTCTCATGTACGAGGTGGCTGTACCCTTTCTCAGGCATCTCTTCTCTCCCTTTGCTGCTTCATCAACAGAAAATTGTGTCCGGGGGCCATGCTGTAGACCTGCCTTATGAATTCCTTCTGCCCTGTCTGTGCATAGAGGTGAGCAGAGGAAAAGCTGTGGGTTGTCCATGCTGCACCCCTAGGCCCCCAGATAGGGAGGTTTGTCAAGCATATCTCCAGTAAGTCAGGTTTAAAAAGAATTGGGTATTAACGAGATGCTTGGGAAGACTGATGCCAGCTTGGCTGTGGTCAGAGATGGAAGGGTCCTCCTGAATATGGGACATAATTGGGGGTGATTCCAACCTCAGCCCCATCCAAACCCAGCTTCCCTTGGTTCAGACTTGGCCTCAGCCCACAGAGGCAGAATAGACAACTGCCTTCAATGTGTGTTCTGAGGAGTCACGATGGGGGCACGTGGCCACTGCAAAGTTCTACATGGCCCCCAAAATCTTGACTCCCCCCTAGCCTTCCATGGCAGTCCTCCTTCTCTCCTTATAAGTCTGAGACGCCTGGCTTTAAGACTTCTTTAGACTAGATAGAAAAGGCAGGAGGCCTTGTCACCGAGGAGGAGACAAAAGAGAGGGTTCAGGAAGAGATCTGGAATTAGTTCTACGAATTTACTATTATTATCTTCTATTTGTAAAGTAAGATCTTTCTTATTCAACTCTATATTTTCATTGAGATCTGGAGGAACAAGCACCTGCCAGGGTGGACGACCATTGGGCATTTGGGCAGTCCTGGGGGAGGGGCCCACACAGGGCACTGGGCACCCTGGGAATCGCTGAGACTGGAGGCTAGGGAAGCCAAAAGTTGAGGAATGTGGATTTCACGATCTCCCTCTTTCCGGGGATAGGTTCTCCTCTCCAGGGAGAAAAGGACTCAGCTTCTCCCTTACTGATCTCGCTCCTAAACTCTGGAGTCCCTCCTCCAAGTGTCAAGCAGCACCCATCCTTGCCCACACCTCACACTGCTCCCCCTCCTCAGTGCCCTGCCAGCTCAGGCAGCGTGCATCTGGGTAAGGTCAAGCCAGAATGAGTTTCAGGTCTGAGTGATATAGGAAAAGCCATTCCTCTGACCCTCTGTGCCCGCTCCCCTGTCCCCCCAGGCATCCTACCTGCAAGAGGACACCGTGAGGCGCAAAAAGTGTCCCTTCCAGAGCTGGCCTGAAGCCTGTGAGTGCTGCTCGTATGCATTCTTGTGCATGCACAGCCTCTCCCTGTCTCTCTCTTACACACATACATGCACACACACTTCACACCCGTGTCGGAGGAAGCCCCAGAAGGCATGTAGGCACTTTCCCTGGAGTCAGTGGGTGAACAGGGCTACTGTATCTACCGACCAGTCTGCCAATAGATCAGTATTGAACATTGTACAGAAATATGAGACCCAAGAGGTAGTGTCCTATGAGAATGGACCAGAAGACCTGGGGTCACATCCCAGCTCTGCCACTGATTCTTCTCTGAGCCTCAGTTTCCCCATCTGTAAAATAATGATACTTGCACTGCCTTACTTTCCAACTGTTTATGTAGCTTGAATTCAGTATTATCTGTGAAAGTAGTTGATGACATCTAAAGTGCTGTACGCACATCATTGTCCCCAAGTTGAAGAGACTGGCTGCTCAAACATGACAAACGAGTAGCACAAACGCAGCCTGCAGCCCAGGGCAGGGTTGTAATTAAGGACTCGGCTGTAGGGCAGGAACTCAGGAGAGGGAGAAGCCCGTGAGGACTGTCGTGAGCAGAGAAGGTCTCTTAGAGGGGGTGGCACCTGAGCTGGGCTCAGAAAATGGGTAGGATTTAGAAAGTGGAGAAGGGAAGGGACGGCATTCCTGGTTCTGTGAAGAACCTAAGCAAAGGTATGAACGTTTCAAGTTTGGGGAGCAGCAAGGAAGTGGCCAGAATGGAGCCCAAGAAGGGAGGAGACAGCTAAATAAAAGAGGTAATAAAACGGGCTGGGGAAGGCACATATGTTTATTGGGTACATAGAAGGCCAGCAAGTACCTGGTAGGTGTGGAGCACCTTCACAGAGTCGTCTCTTGATGCCCTGGAGATGGGGGTGGCAAAGCGAGGCTTCCCCGAGGCAGGGCTCAGGCCTCCCCAGGCCTCACTCTCTGTCCTGCCTCCTGCCCAGACGGCTCGGATTTCTGGAAGTCAGTGCAATTTACTGACTACAGCCAGCACAGTCAGATGGTCATGGCCCTCACACTGCGCTGCCCCCTGAAGCTGGAGGCCTCCCTCTGCCAGAGGCAGGGCCGGCGCACTCTCTGTGAAGACCTCCCCAATGCCACGGCTCGAGAGTCTGAGGGGGTGAGACAGGCCTCCCCAGGGCCTGGGTGGGTGGCACTGGGGCCCAGGGCCCTGCTGCCTCACTGACTCCCTTCTCCCACCACAGTGGTATGTTTTGGAGAAGGTGGACTTGCACCCCCAGCTCTGCTTCAAGGTACGAGCATGGGCAAGAGGGGATGGGTAGGGGTATGGATGGTGCCTGGAGCTTGCTCACTTGCCATTCTTGGATTTCTCAGTTCTCTTTTGGAAACAGCAGCCACGTTGAATGCCCCCACCGGACTGGTGAGCCAAAAAGTGACCCCAGCTGGGACCCCTTCCCACCATCTCACCCTCACCCAACTGTGACCGAGCCAGACTCTAGCCCTGCCCTGACTTCTCTGTCAACTGCAGCCCAGCTCCTATTACCTCCCACAAGCAGGGTCTCTCACATGATGCCCTTTCCCACTCCCTGGCAGCCCCATCCTGGAATGTGAGCATGGATACCCAAGCCCAGCAGCTGATCCTTCACTTCTCCTCGAGGACGCATGCCACCTTCAGTGCTGCTTGGAGCCACCCAGGCTTGGGGCAGAATGGCTTGCTGCCCCCTGTGTACAGCATCAGCCAGGTATGGCCTAGCCAGGACTTGGCCCCCACTTGGTCCTGTTACTCAGAGCACAGCAGGTGCAGGCAAACAACTCTCTGACTTCACAGCATCTGGTTATTCCTTGACTGGATCTGCCTTTGTTCACTGGCTCCTCTGCCAGTCAGTGGGGTCTTTGCTGGAGCAGTTTCGAATTCCTTTTAGTTTCTGAACTTACAGGGATAAACAGAGATAAGTGACTGGTCCTCCCACATCCAGCTGTTCTCTGGCCCCCCAGAACTGCTGCCACGTATTACCTTGATGCCCTCTCTTGAACTGAGCTGTCCCCTCCCACCATGCTCCTGTCTGCCTCCACAAGGCACCTGGCAGAAGTTCTCTGACCGTCTTGGGAGGCAGAGCCCCTAGAAGCTGAAGTGCTCTTTGCACAATACTGTAAACGACTGACAGATTTAAGTCTATCATGTGAACTAAGAACACTTTGACTAGCAGACTCTGTTCCGTGTATCTGATATAAACCCACAAATATATCCACAAACCCACAGCACCAAGCTAAGCATGACTAGCTCTTTTCAGTTTTTTCTTAAATGCTCACTTGCAGCTTGTTTGTTTTGCATTCTCTGAGGCTCCCAAGCAGGGGTGGTAGCAAATGCTTAAGATTTAAGACAAAGTCATGTGGGATAACCTAAAATTGAGAGCTAAATCCGTGGACTCCTTCGTTTCTGTAGCTGGGAGAAGACCACCTCCACTGAGTTCAGCCATGATTTGAGAGCCACTGCGTCAGCACCTGCTCACAGTGGGCTGGAGAACGGGGTCTGGGACAGGGGTGGGGTAGTGCTAGGGGATGGAGGGTGTTCCCAAGGATGGAGACTCTGATCACCTCCCTAACCAGCACCCAGAACAAAGGGTGGAGCCACATTCTGCCTGTAGACAGATGGCAATCAATTCTGTCCAATTCAGCATGCATTTATTGAGTGCCTACTCTGTGCTTCCCCTGTATTAGGCCCTGGGAGATACAAGAAAAGTATATAACACAGTCTTTGCCCCTAAGGAGTCCACAATGTGAGAATAGCTACTACTACTAAATGAATACACGCTGCACTGTGTATTACAAAGGGTGTTCACATGTGTGTTCCCATGTGATGCTCTCAATAACCCAGTAAAGTAAGGATTATTATCTCATATACAAATGAAGAAACTGAGCTCAGGGAGGAAGGTAACGTATCTCTACGCAAAGATCACACACCCAGGACCACAAAGGCAATAGTTAAGCCTGACTTTATTAACCGTGGTCTCTTGACTCCACAACTTAGATTCTTTCCAATGGACAAGCCGCCCCTTCGGGTGTGCAGGACAGAGAAGGGAGGCAGCGTATAATTAGCCTCCCTGGTTTGTGAGCTGCTGGAGGACAGAGACGACGTCTGCGCCCGCCTTCTTTCCTCAGGGCTTGGCCCAGAGTAGGCGCCCAGAGTATGTTTGTTGATGAGTGTCTGATTGCCTGATTAATGTGTATCTGTGCAGCAGTTCAGACCTGGGAATGATCAGCAGGATCTGGGAATGAAGCCAGGGAAGGCTTCAGGAGTGGCCTTGGCCTTCAGCCTGGGTAGGATTTGGGGGGGGGTGGGGGGTAGAAAGGAGGAACAGCATGAACAAAGACTCAGAGGCTCGACCGAGCCAGATTTGCTCTATGGGGACGGTCATTCTGTTGTTTGTTCCAACAGACTCAAGGCTCAAGCCCAGTGACACTAGACCTCATCATCCCCTCACTGAGGCCGGGGGGCTGTGTCCTGGTAAGGACTCCTGCCCTCAGTCTGTACACACTCCCCTAGCATCCACTCCACAGGCGGGAAATCCAGTCTGCAAAAACGTTTGGTTCGGCCTGCATGGTGTTTGAAATTGGAATTGTTTGCCACCATTTAAATACTGGGAGATGTCATATTTTAAAAAGCTGATTTCTCGCTTCTCTTGAAAAATCAGAAAACCTGGTGTTCTGTGTTTGCACTCAGGCATGGTGACAGTGGGCTGGAGCTCAGTGGTGGCTGATTACCTCAGTCGGGGCCTGTTCCCGCCGGGTCCTCATGGACACCGTGGCCAACTCTGAGTTTACTTTTGGGGCTTGCCACTCTTGATTTGTTCTGTGCCCAGCCAGACCTGCACCAGATGCAAACCCTGTGCTGGAGTAATTCCCTATCCGGGGGGCCTCCCCTTCTCATCCCCAAGCCTCTTTCAACTTCCCCTGTGAGGAGAGGCTACCCTGGCTCACAGGGGTGGGGCGCTCTGTGCCCTCAGGTGTGGAGGTCAGATGTGCAGTTTGCCTGGAAGCGCCTCTTATGTCCAGATGGTGAGTTCTTGAGGGGGGAGGGCACTTAGGGCAGAGGTTGGGCGCCGGGGAGCCTGGCTTGGCCTCACCCTGCTTGACTCAGTCTCTCATAGACGCCTGGGACTCTTGATCTTGGCACTGCTGGTCCTCACCACCCTATTGGGCGTTGTTCTGGTCCTCACCCACCGGCGCCCACTGTCAGGTAAGCTCACTTGGGGAAACCTGCTGGATTCAGCCCAGCTCCTAGGCTAGTTGCCCCCCACCGCTCCCGTGCCCAGGCTCCCTGTGACTGCACCCAGCTCTCTGCTACCCCCAGGGCTGAGCCTCAGGCCCCCTAGTGGGCAGGAATGGTTAAGGCAGGGCAAAGGTCCCTCTGTGCAGGTGTTTTACTATACTGTCTCTGGGCAAGAGGCTAGTGTGGGGCGGAAATCCAGACTGCGCCGCACCTGCCAAGCCTAGCGCCCTGGCCCTCGCCCCTTCCGGGGCGCCTTTATCTAATTAGCCCAAAGGCACCTTACAGGCTAAAACTACTTGGATACCCACCTCCAGCACAGATCCAGAACTGCGGCGGGCCCCCTATGATGTAGCCCCAGGGCCGGGGAGGAGAGGGCTGGGCTGTCCCTTAGCCCCGACCCTGTTCATCTGTGGCTCCCGCTCCCAGGCCCGGGCCGAGCGCGGCCGGTGCTGCTGCTGCACGCGGCGGACTCAGAGGCACAGCGGCGCCTGGTGGGAGCACTGGCTGAACTGCTGCGGGCAGCGCTGGGCGGCGGGCGCGACGTGATCGTGGACCTGTGGGAGGGGACGCGCGTGGCACGCGTGGGTCCACTGCCGTGGCTGTGGGCGGCGCGGGCGCGCGTGGCACGGGAGCGGGGCACCGTGCTGCTGCTGTGGAGTAGCGCCGGCCCCCGCCCGGCCCGTGGCCCGGATCCCCGCGCCGCGCCCCTGCGCGCCCTGCTTCGCGCCGCCCCGCGCCCGCTGCTGCTGCTCGCTTACTTCAGTCGCCTCTGCGCCAAGGGCGACATTCCCGCGCCGCTGCGCGCCCTGCCGCGCTACCGCCTGCTGCGCGACCTCCCACGCCTGCTGCGGGCGCTGGACGCGCGGCCTTCCACCGAAGCCATCAGCTGGGGCCGCCTTGGGGCTGGGCCGTGCCTGCGTGGTCGCCTGGAGCTGTGCCGCCGGCTGGAACGCGAGGCCGCCAAGCTTGCTCACCAAGGCTGAGCAGAGCCCCGCCGCACCGGAGGATGTCCACGGCCGCAAGCCTAGGGCCTCTACCCTGGAATCCTCGGGGTGACCCCTCAGGACTGGCCAAAAAGACTTACTTTCTGCCTCCCAGCCTGGGGGCAGAGCACCTCACTCACTGTCCCAGCCGGTCCCCACGTGTGTCCCGCTTCCTCCTCGTGCTTACCCTGCCTCTCAGAACCCTCAGGGAGAGAGCTACTCTCTACTGAGACCTTCTCTGCCCCTAGTCCTGTTGGGGGTGGGGGATCTTCCCACTTCCTCTCTCCCAAGTTCCAGAAAGAGAGTGATCTGCACGTGCTCCAGTCCAGGTTGGAGAGGTAGCGGAGGTAGGCGCTCTGGCAGTTCTGAGCCGGGGGTGGCTCCAGGTTGTGGGGGAAAACCCCTTTGGGAGCCAGGGATCCCCCTTTCCCAGACCTGGGACCTGCCCAGAGGAGGAGGGAGGGAGGGCTCAGGACCCTGGGAAAGAGGCTTTGGCCCTGGGTGGCCAGGGCAAAAGTGGGACAGTGGAGACCAAGATGGGAGAAAGATGAATAAAGATAACCGTGAGGGCTAAACTAAGAAACGCAGCGTGCTTCTCTGCTATGCCTGGGGTGCTGAACTGGGGGAAGGGTCAGTACCACCTTCAGTGTGTGGGCTCGAATCCTCCATGTCCACATCCACATCTGTCATGTTCTCACCAGCAATGCCTCTGAAAAGGCAAAGGAGGATCTTGATCCTCACCGTGACTCATCGAGAGAAGAGAGGAAAAAGCAGGTTCAGAAACGTGCTGTGTGTCCATCATCATACAGCCAACCCGTGGCAACAGCAGAGAGGGGACCCCTGTCTGCCTGGCTCTGGTCCTGCGTTCCTTCCTCCTATACCACACTTAAGCGTAGGCCAGGAAGTGGTGAAAAGCCCACTTTATGGTGCCCATTGTCACTGCCTGTAGAGCTCCTCTCCCACTGAGGGTCACTGAGGCCCAGGGAGTATGTGTGAAGGGACCTGGGGTGCCCAGTAAGAGGGGACCCAGTGAGCCCTAGGATCCCAGAACCTGTGTCAAAGGGTCACGTGGAAAGCAGAAATGCCCCAGGATTGCCCAGGCCCGGGGGTGCACTCGTCAGAGCCCTCCTCCTAGGGACTCCCAGGGTGAGTAAGAGCTCCCTTACTCAGCCATGTTGCTGCCACCCACTCCAGGGGCCCCTCCCAGTCAGATGTCAGCAGAGGAGGAGGAGGAGGAGAGGGAGTGAAGGAGGAGGTGAGACTATCACCCCAGTCCAAGGCTGCTGGCTCCCAGGCCTGGTGTTGGTGGGAGGGACAGGGCGGGGCAGGAACAGCCGGCTTCGTGCCCAGAGCCAAAACGAAAGCACTCGGCTGGGACTGGGACGGCAGTCAGGATTCCCAGGAAAGGGAGCGCGCAAGCTAGCCAGCCCTGGGACCCTGAGGCTGGGGACGGATTCCCGCCCCTCTTGCCTACAGGCGGGCGGGCGGGGCTGAGTGGGAGTAGAGGTGGGCTGTCTGCCCCCCCCTCCGGGGGGGCAGGACACAGCCTCAGGCCTGGGTGCCGCCCGGCACCTAGAAGATGCCCATGCCCTGGTTCCTGCTGTCCTTGGCACTGGGCCGAAGCCCTGTGGTCCTCTCTCTGGAGCGGCTTGAGGGGCTTCAGGACGCTGCCCGCTGCTCTCCGGTGAGTCTGGGCCCTGGGAGTGCTGAGGAAGGCTCAGGGTTCAGTCTGCGGCCCATCAAGGCCCCAGCCTGGCTCCTGTCACTGCCACTGCCGCCAGAACCGCCCTGGCTGGTCTGTCTGGTGCTGATGGGGTGAAAGAAGAATGGGCAGGGGGCAGGAGCTGGGTCTGTCTCCTTCTTGGAGGGGCTTGGAATAGTGAGCCCAGAAAGATGTGGGTGGGGGTCTCAGGGGGGAAAGATGGTTAGATTTGGGGGCACAAACTGACTCTCCTTTACCTCCTTCCTAGGGCCTCTCCTGCCACCTCTGGGGTGAGTAGCCCTACTTTTAGAGAGAAAAGAACTTCCTTGGTCGGTGGAAGGGAGGAGGGCTGCCCCAGTCCCATGTTCTCACCACCCACCCTCAGCTCAGGAAAAGCCCAAAGATCTTTGGTCCTCTGGGGTGTCAGGTGCAACCAAACTCTGGGTTCAGAGCAGCCTCAGCTCCTACCTTGCCCTTCATGCACAGATGGTGATGTGGTCTGCCTACCTGGGAGTATAGTGTCTGCCCCAGGCCCAGTGCTGGTGCCCACAAGCCTGCAGACTGAACTGGTGCGGAGGTGCTACCAGGAGACCGACTGCGACCTCTGTGTGCGTGTGGCTGTCCACTTGGCTGTGCATGGTGAGCATGTCATCCTGTGACAGTACATGTACACATGTGAATGTGTCTTAGATGGGCCTGAGGACCAGGGAGTCTGTCACGCAGCACTGGGCATTCTCAGTGTTCTCCTGGAGGACACTGGCCGAAGGACCCCCAGGGTCAGCCTGGTCTCCCTGTCCACCCCCGAGACCCCAGGCCTGGCCTCTGCTTGCATGCCCCTTTCTGGAAGGAAGCCAAGCCCCAAGCCAGCCCAGGGCAGGGGGCTTCACCTGGGCCTTGCTCTTGGGTCCTTCCAGGGCACTGGGAAAAACCTGAAGATGAGGAAAAATTGGGAAGAGCAGCTGATCCAGAACCTGAGGAGCCTAGGAATGGTGAGGAGAATCTGGCTGGCCCAGCCGCGCCTCGCCAGGGCCTTGCCTGCAGCCCCTGGGCCTGACTGACCCTCTGCCCTGTTGCTCACAGCCTCTCTCCAGGCCCAAGTGGTACTCTCCTTCCAGGCCTACCCCACTGCCCGCTGCGTCCTGCTGGAGGTGCAAGTGCCTGCTGCCCTCGTGCAGCCCGGTCAGTCTGTGGTATGTGAACTAATAACAATACCAATAACAATACCCACCTCCTAAACTTGGCATCTATAAAGTGCTTTCCCGTGCATTATCTCTTTAATCCTGATTCTGCCAGGGCTGTGAGCAAGTTCTTTCAGCCCTTTTTGCCTCAGTTTTCCTGTCTGTAAAGTGGGAATAAGAATAGCCCTACCTCATATGGCTGTTGTGAGAATAAAAGGAGTTGATACGTGTAAAACGCCTGGTGTCATGCCCGGCCCTGAAAGGTCTCAGGAAGTTTCATTTTTCCTTTCTTTCATAATCCTCAAAACTACCCTATGAACTAGGCATTATGACCCTCATTTTCCAGACAGAGAAGCTGAGGCGTGGAGAGGGGAAGTCTGTGGGCTGGATCCACTTCTCCGGACTTCCTGCCATGGCACGTCTGCCCCATGTACACACCACGGTGCAGGGGGTGGGGCTTCTCCCTACCTCAGGAGGCCATATGTGGTTGGAAGATGTACTTCCGCTCGGGCCAAATCACTCAAACCCTTTGACTTCCCCTCTGGCCCCCAGCTCCCGGCCAGTTTTCTCTCATCTGGAAAACCGTAGAATGGGAGAGCATCAGCTGGCCTACCTCACAGGGCAACTGTGAGGACCACTGAGGCACCAGGTAGAAGAACCACTTCTGTGAGAGGGGACATCCCACATTTACAGTGGGGGTCACACCTGAGCTTAGCCACATGACCCAGGACAGCAGGGGTAGGGGCAGGGACTCAAACATCTAGGGCCCTATCCCTGCCTTGCTGACGCACACACTGAGGGTGTGTACTTTAGAGCTGGGGGCCCCTGAAGGACACGTTAATGGCAGAATTTCAGGTCACACAGTATAAACAGTCATTGGTTGTGATATGGGAGCGGGTGAGCAGAGTGGTCCAGGCAGAGTACCCCAGAGCCCTTGGCCTAGAATCTGAGCCCTATGCCACCAGCCTCCCGCCACGCCTTTCCTCACAGGGCTCTGTAGTGTTTGACTGCTTCGAGGCTGCTCTGGGGACTGAGGTGCAAATCTGGTCCTACACTCAGCCCAGGTACCAGAAGGAACTCAACCTCACACGGCAGCTGCCTGGTAAGTGGCCTCAGAGCCTCAGGGGCCCCAAGTCCTGGTCTCCCTGGTCTTTCTCCCCTCTGGCCACTTCCTTTCTGCTTTCACCCCCTTCCCAGACCCATCCCCTCTCAGGCAAGGGTCTGAGCTACACTCCTCCCCAGAGTCAGTCCCCGTGCCTCCTCTCCCCGGGTGACATTGCTTTCCAGTGCTTGGGAAGGTGCTTTGGCCACTGGATAGATGTGGGTGGTATCTAGGGGACAGGGAGCCCTTCCCAGTGCTCCCCATGGGTCGGACTGCTCCCCTTCTTTCTTTGGCCCCCGGTCCCACTGGAGGCTTTTCTGTGATCTCTCCCCAGACTGCAGGGGGCTGGAAGTCCAGGACAGCATCCAGAGCTGCCGGGGTAGGGGCTAGGGCAGCGGGGCTGGGAGAAGGGAGGGCGGGGTCTGGAGCGTGAGGGACCCCTGGAGTCAGCTTCAGGTCTGGGTGCCACAGCCCAAAAGGTCCGAGAGCACATTCATTCATTCACTCATCACACACGAACTGCAGTAGCTCCTACTCTGTGCCAGGCACCGGGAATATAAAGTGGATCTCTCACTCCTTATAACAAAAACTTGATAGTAACAGGGGCATCAAGAGGCCCAAGGCATTGTCGAGATTATGGCGCACCCCCAATATACCAAAATAAAAATAATATTAGACCATAAAATAAAGGGTAAGAAAGTGAAGGTTTTGATGATTTTTCCCATACGCTGTTTGGACTTTGTTTTTGCTTTATTTTTTGTTTTGTATTTTCTTTTTTATTGTGGTATAACATACAGAAAAGTGTGTAAAGTGCACTCGTTTTGCTGTCCAGTTCAGTTAATTTTTACCTATGTATACACTGCATGGCTACCACCCAGATCAAGATAGAAACACTGTGATATTATTATTATTATTATTTTTAAAGATTGGCACCTGAGCTAACAACTGTTGCCAATCTTTTTTTTTTTTCTGCTTTTTTCTCCCCAAATCCCCCCAGTATATAGTTGTATGTTTTAGTTGTGGGTCCTTTTAGTTGTGGCATGTGGGACGCCTGATGGCCTGATGAGCAGTGCCATGTCCATGTCCAGGATCTGAACCCGGCAAAACCCTGGGCCGCCAAAGCGGAGCCCGCGGACTTAACCACTGGGCCATGGGGCCGGCCCCATATTTTTTGAACTCTTAAATGATTTCAGCTTCATTTTCCTTTGGCTGCCTTAAACTTAGGCTTGGCCTGCCTCTTTGGTGATTCATTTAAGACTACTCAGCACCAGAACTTTGAGGACACAGATATCCGTCATTGATTTCATGTCGTCATTCATTCAGTAGACGTTGATTCACTTATTCAACAGATGCTTTTTGAGTAATGACTTTGCCTAAGGCATAGCCCTCAGCACTGGAGATAAATCAATAAACAAAACTGATGAAAATCCCTGCCCTCACCTAGCTGAGGGTTCTGGCTGGGAGTCAGGGTCTGGGGGGTTGATGGAGGACACGGTAAATACATGGGGATGTGCAATATGCAATCACTAACAATGTGATTAGTGCTATGGGGAAAATGCAGCGAAGGGGGATAGGGAGGTTGGGAGTTGCAGGGGTCAGGGATGGCCTCACTCTAGTGAGCGAAGACCTGAAGG